TCTGTTCTCCGCTCGCAGCAGCGCGCTCTTCGTCTCCAGCGGAGCTCATCCCGATGTGGCTTCCCTCGAGGGGCAAACTCTAGAGTGTTTGCGGCCTACGCCACTTATTTATCGGGTGAGACTGTTTTGGTGATGTATTAACTTCACGAGAGGTCGACGACCGTCCTTGACACGCACGAAAGAGGGAGTGCTCAAAGAGCGGCTCCCACAGCAAGAAGGGGCCCCGTGAATCATCGCGGTGCCCCCTACCAAACGGCAATCTTACCAGTCTGCGTGACACAAAATCATCCAGCACACGTATCCAACACCAATGTTCGCAGACCCACGAACATCTTCCGGTACCCTCCACGTGAGCAAGCGTTTGCTGACGGTAGGCATATCTACTGTATGCTATCAGCGTTATGCTGTAGCTATCAAGTACTTCATATGTATATATGTAACTGTGCGCGGCTCGTCGTTCGTATGAAAGTGTATGATTGGGACTATAGTGTCCACTAACAGCAGTCCAATTTGGGTTTTATCCTGCGCATTCGCGCGCATGTTGACCTAAATGGCGTTCGTGTTCTCAGGTGATTCATGTCCTACTTCGTACACACTTCACTTTTGGCGTCACCACCGCTCGACAGCGCTACTCCTCCTGGCGAATTCGAACGAGGTCACCTACTAGTCTAGTCTAGACCGCCAGACCGCCAGGATAATAGACTCTACAATGGAGATTGCAAAAAGAGTTTAGTCCAGTTGTCAAACGACGACGTGACTCGAGCCATTGAGAGGTTAGGTGGTGGATTCCCAACGGCTAGCGACCCCAGCCCTTCAATTTTTCGTCTTGCTTACACTAGAGACTGTGCTCGATTCCACGCCTGCCTTTCGAGGGTTGCTGGGGTGCGACGAAGCTGGTGGCTGGGATGGGCTGGCGTGTCAAACAGTCAACGGTGCTCAATACCGGGACCTCGGGAACCTGGGCAAAGTTCACAATAATCACACCTACAACAGCATCCGATCCTCAGCACATGAGGTCATTGTCGCAAGCGCTTTTGACGGGGCCGTCAGTCTGGAGGAGACATCACCCTGTCCAGCAGAGGCAGAAAACTTGTTTGACCCCCCGGGGTCATGTACAATACACGCGGTCCAGGGTCGACCGGTCGAGGGAACGGTGATCATCCATCAAGCCCGGCATCCTCACGCCGACGTGCACTGGCTGTTGACGGCGAACAGCCGAGCCACAGGGCCCTCGAACGTCAGGGTCGTAGATGACATTCATCGCAGCGAGAGTGATATGCCCGATCGGGTGATGACATCGTGGGTTTCTAGGAAGGTCACGAGCTGCATCTATGCCGCCGTTCGTTGCGGCCGGGCGTCTTGGACCAGAAGAGGGTGGAAGGCACAGAGAAGCCCTTGTTCAAGAACTACTGAACTCTTACGGAGGTAGATGCAACCTATACACCTGCGAGCTTGTCTGGGCCGTTTACGGTGAACGGCAGCCAACGCTCGATCGCCTCGACTGCTCGCTGCCCCACACCGCGGAAAATGTGGACGTGAAGTGCCTAAGGTGTCATCGCGCTCGTGTTAGCCCGGGGAGAGGGCGCACAAAAAATAAGAAAGGTAATAGTAGTGGGAAGGAGGTAGCCCTATTGTAAGGAAAATGGAGGATATTGTTGGTATGTCCGTACTTGGGAGGAGAAGACACGCTTTAACTCTCTCTCACCTGTGTTGCACACCCCACCAATATCGTTTTTTTTTTTTTTCCTCAAAAAATGATCGCACGGACCCCCCCCCAAAATGCCAACACCCCGCGAGAACAAGTTATTCAAGCATAGCTCGGCCTACAGTGGAGATTCCTAAATCGGTGATCCTGAGGGGGTCTTGCCATATACAACCAACAGTGGGCCAAAGCCGTGGACCACACGGTTGACCACAGCATCCGCGTTTCCCGTCCAAAGTTGGACTGCGAGCGGCAAACTGGCTCTATCTCGCCGCGTTCCGGGAACGGACGTCACACACACCCATGACCAGCATCGACACGCCGCGACGCGCGCGACACGGAGGGCACAGCACCTGACAGCCACCTGCGGGCTAGCGTCGAGGAGTCTAGCGGTGAGCGTTGGTGGCGCGGATAAGGTGATCCCTACGGTGTGTTGCTGCGTCCTTGGTGTGCAGCAAACAGCAGCAGCAGTACAGCAAAGTGGTGCGCGTGCGTGTCTCCCAATACATGGTGCCGCGCAACGACTGCACGTGCACAACGAGGATGTGTGCTTTTGCCGATACCAGCAGGCGGTTTTCCTCTGCGACCGCAGCTGCCGTTCGCCTGTTTGCGTGTGGCTTAGTCTGTTGCATGCTCGAACACAGCAGACACTTCTCGGGATGTTTTGCGTACCAAAGAACATGAGACATGCGCTCTGCTCTGCTCTGCCATCAAACCGCAGCACACAAAGCGGTCACTGCTGTGCTGCTGGCTGGGTTAGGGTCGCTAGTCCGGACCCAGACCATGTGTAGTGTTTGCCGTGTGTTTTGCCATATCGCACGCTGTTTGTGACGCGAGGGTAACACCTCAAACAGCTGCTCTGTGGTTTAAAAATTCAAACCAGCAGCAGCGGCACCAACATGCCAAGTACACATCACTTCGCATGTTCCCCGCGGCCGAAGCGTGTTGTTCACCTACCACACCATGCTTTATGTGTAGAGGGCTAGTCCTCTACACCCCACGAGCTCTGCCACACACCGACCTGTCGACCGTAGTGTTCTGCAACAGTAGTATAGACAAGAAGGTTCGTAAGACGTGCGCACATCGACGTTTGTTCCGCCCCGCTGTTGAACTGCTATGCCCCGCTGTAGATGTCACATCCGGGACGGGCGACCAACGAGGCGGCGAACAATGAGTGGAGGGAGGTTTTGGCTACAATAAAGGAGGAAATACAAGCCCTCGTAGCAAAGAAGAAGGACGGCGTGACTGCTGACGAATGTTCCAGTGTTCGGACGCTTGGATGGACCTTGGCAGATCCTCTCCGTGGGCTCACGAAGACCCCAATCTCACCGGTGAGGAAGCTGTAGCCGTGCTCGCGCTGGGTAGCGAGTTGGGGCTTGGGGTAAGAAATCAAAGGAGACGGCAGTGATAACAGTAGACTCGTTGTGTGAAGGCGGTGGGATCAGGATTAAAACACAGCAGTATTTTAAACACGCATCATCCATCCTCGGAAATGTGGGAGTTTGATGTACAAGTAGTTGAGTTCCTCAACTCCAACCAAACGACTGAACTTATATTTGGCTTCTTTTGCACAGGGATACTCTGGCCCACTCGCCGAAGCCCGATGCGAGGACGAACTGACGAAGCGGTTGCTTTGTGGGGCCCAGGTTTGGGACGGTGGGAATAGAGGGGTGCCTCTTCAGACAAGGAAAGTCGGTGCCTGCTTCTGTGATGCGCTCGCGTTGGGGGTGTTTGGTGGTGGGTTGGAGGCAGCGGATGACGCGTGGCAGTACTCGCGAGTTCAAAAGAGATGTAGCAGAAAAGAGACTCTTGATTTGACAACACCAGCGGGGGTGACACTCCGTGCACAAGGGTACGCGGGAGGGGGGCGTAGCCTTACGTCTGGCCTTACGTCTGGCCGGAAATTGAGCTTTGTCGGTAGCTCAAGGAGCTGCACCTGGATGTGCGCGATGCACAGACCGGGATATAGGCCAAAACAAAGCTGCCGAAATAAATAACTCTCGGAATTTTCGCTCATTTTTCGTCCGCGTCAGCATGCTCGCCAACCCCAAACAAACAAAACAAACAGGCCGAAATAAATATCTCTCGGACCCTTCGGTCAATTTTCGTCCGCGTCAGCATGCTCGCCAACCCCAAACAAACCCCAAATTTATCTTGCCATATCACTGGTACTCAGGGGCAAAACACCATCCTCGTGCCCCTTCCTTCGTTGCCACTCTTGTACCACACGCCCCAGAACTCCCCGACTGTTATATGCGCAGGGGTGTACGTTGACCTCCTCAAGAATACACAGACCGATGGAGAATTTTCTTGCAGCCATGTGGCCCGGTCTGCGCATGGTTCCATGAAAGAGAGAGGCAACTTCAGGGCAACGCCGTAACGAGCTACCTCCAAAGCCGCCATCACAAACTTGATGGCACCCTTGTAAGGAGGGCTTGTTACGACCCAATCGGGTTGTTGGCCGGTCTTCTCAAGGTACACTCGGGCAAAGCTGCCGCTGCTTGCATCCAGGCTGGTGTCCGCACACCTGCTGGCATATATTGACACACAACGCAACAAACAACTGTTGGCCCTGGCGTTTTGCTGGCAACACCAATTCAAGATAGAGCCACGAGAAAACACCGCCGCGCTCGACTCTATTGGCAACTGAGTTCGTTATGTCGACAGGGGAATTTTTAGGTAAGTAATATCCAACCTGCAATCTTTTTTTTGTCTCACCTGGCCCTCACGTCATTCGTGACGACAGTACAGGTCTCCCCGAGGCGAACGGCCACAGCGTCCGTCCGCCCCCCGCACATGTCCAGCACCAGCCCTTCAATGCTAACCTCGGCCACCAAAGCGTCTACCGCCGCGGGCGACGTGCAGTAGCGATCGTAAGGCCTGCGTTGTAGAGTTAGGACTGGCTCCGGAACATGAGTCAAGCTCCTTCGTTTACGCGTGCCTGGCGCGTGTGGCTTCCTCTCTCTGTTCTCCCGCCGCTCCAAAAGCCTCAGCATGCAATCCCGCCGTTTGCACAGCACGAGAGGATCGCCGACGCCCATCAACCGGTTCGGAAACATGACGGACACATCGCTTTCTCCCCCAAATTCGTGGATTTGCTCAGCTCTGCGTTGCCTGGGCTTTCTCAGGCCGGTCCCGTCATCCGCCCTACGACAGGCACTGCAAGTCTCCATGGCTGCTACAATTTACATGAAAGAGCAGAGGGGCGCAGAGTGCGCCGCCCAAATGCTAATGCTGCACCACTTGTGTCACACACAGCAGGGCACACCCGCCTGCAAGGAACACGCGTAGAAGGGAGCAACAGCAGAACAGGAAGAAGGGAAGGATGAATATTGGCAACGCCGGCTTGAATACACACGCGCTCGCCGTGCTGTGGCGGCTCCAAGGGTGCTCAAACGACTGCTGTTCGATCCCCAAAATCTGTCGTTCAGCAGTAGTCTCAAAGTAGTCTCAAATCAAGTAGTTTCAAGAGCGGCGGGATCGTGCAGCGGTTCTTTTCATGCTGATTCAAACGCCTCTACCTCCTGCTACAGTGGAGATCCCTAAATCGTTGATTCCATGGGTGCTCATCATACATGTACCTAGTATGGGGTCTAGCCATTTTGTCTCGCGGGCCACCCTGCGACCCGCGTTTTGAGCCCAAAGTACGCCAGAAGTTGCGGCGAAAAACACAGGGTCATTGCGCGAGGGAATTGGACAACCTCTCACGAGCATCTAATTTGCGCGTCAATCTCTTGTGCCTTCGGGCCCAAACCAACTCACCAGCATAGCCTAGGATTTCTTCTCGCGTCTCCTCCCGAGGCGACGCCGAACCGATCACTGTGCGCAGCACACGAGGGAAACTTGTGCCTCGACCACGTGGGCGCGGCGCAATGTTTTTGGGGAGGGGATGATAAACGGCTAATTCCCGAACCAGGAAAAACGCCTCGCATTTTGAAGACAGTTTTTTTTTTTTGGTGGGGTGTGCAACACAGGTGCTCTGATTAGGCACCCGCGAGAGCGAGGAAAGGAAGGGAAGAAGTGGCCCTCCCGAATTCGGGGAAGGGGGCCCACACATAGTAGCCTTTTTCAGGCATACGCATGCTCCTGTCTACGTACCCCCCCCCCGTGCTGCTAGCAGATCTACCATGCTCGTATCCAGACACACGAACACCCTCCCCAGTTCGTCAAGCTATTGACAAACCATCAGTGGGGCATGGATACTCCAGATCTACTTCAGTTACTCATACATCAACGGGTGCAAGGGAAAAACTCGACCATCCGAATCAAAAACCCTCGCCTACAAACTCAAAACATAAATGAAACCGTCGCTATCACGAAGGATTNTCAACGGGTGCAAGGGAAAAACTCGACCATCCGAATCAAAAACCCTCGCCTACAAACTCAAAACATAAATGAAACCGTCGCTATCACGAAGGATTCCAACGGCCGCACTATCAGGGCAGGACCAA